AGAGTGTGAAGAGGCAGGGAAGCTTACCATCAGCAGTGAGTATCTGGATAGACAGACTGAACAGGTTGTGGAGATTACTAGATTAGTCTTTTTCTATTGTGGCTGGCTGTGTGTGTGTGTGTGTGTGTGTGTATTGTATATGTGTGTGTGTGTGTGTGTGTGTGCATGTATGTGTGTGTATACACACACACACACACACACACATATTACAGGAATATCTAAAGCTGCATTTTATCATTAAATGGGATCATCATTTAAGATGTCAGACTAGACAAAAACGTATTTGATTACATCATTTTTATAATACTGATTCATTTCTGCAGTTATCTACTTATACTTGAAAGCATTGTGGAGCAAAATATGTGTTGCCAGAGTTATGCCTATTCATAGTCATTTTAAATGCTAATTTATTAAAATGCATTTGTTTTTTTCTCTCTCTCAAATTACAGCATATTGGGAATTCAGATATGTGTCCTTTGGTTTTCACAGATAAAGGGAGAATTGGCCTAATGTTTTTGATCTAAATTCCTATTCTGCTAATTGTGTAAAAAATTTAAAAATTTAAAAGTTATTTTTAATGGCATCATCTCATGAAATGCTAAGAAAAGCTATCTGGTCAGATCAGTATCTGTGCATAATATACAGAGTTGAGACAAAATACTCTTGTATATTTAGCTATCATATTCTAGTGTGCATACAATTTGAAGTCTGGAGTTTTGTATCTGTAATTCAGCCTGATTTTAATGTTTCACAAAAGCTATAGTATTTAAGATTTGTTATTTGTCTTCATCAATGTTGCCTTCGTATGAATGATCACTGCAGACAGAATCTAAAACAGAATCTTGCAAATATCAAATGTATTTAATCTTATTGAAGAATAGTAATCTAAGGCATAGAAAACTTATTTCTGATACAGTATTTATTTATTTATTTGTTTGTTTGTTTGTTTGTTTGTTTGTTTATTTATTGGTTCGATTTATATGCCGCCCTTCTCCGGAGACTCAGGGCAGCTTACAATGCGTTAAGCAATAGCCTTCATATTTTTGTATATACCTGCTTCAGCCCCCCATAAGCGGTATTCTTTTTTATACAAAAAGTCCGCTTATTGCCCCCACAATCTGGGTCCTCATTTTACCTACCTCGGAAGGATGGAAGGCTGAGTCAACCTTGAGCCTGGTGAGATTTGAACTTGCAGTAATTGCAGGCAGCTGGCAGCTAAGTGCTACTTAACAGCACTTTAGTCTGCTGCACCACCAAATCTTTTTCATTGGTATTCATTGCTACTGTTGTTTTGTAATGGGCAAATGTCTTTTTAAATGTCTTCTACTGTGTATTTTCAGAATACATGTTACATTACGTATAATGTACATTATCCCCACCTTCATCTATGGAATATGGCTTCTAAGGATAAACTTTCTATAGTTTTCCAGCATTTATCCTGGAAATTTGTTAAGGCAAGATTATTATTGGCTATGTTACCTTTTTTCTTTCCAATCTTTTAAGTGGAATGGCTCTTTGAGAATTTTCTAATTACACAAGTAACCATTTTCCCAGTAGCATCATTTGGCACCTTAGAACTAATCCACAAATCTTTTAGGCAATTCTGAAATAAATATCTGTGGATCACTGCAGAAGTATCAGCACTGACAACTTGAGGCTACACAGATCTAGGTTCCTTGGCTCACAGCAGTCCTTTTATTAAGAACTTGGGTAGGGAAAAACCTTTAAGCTCACTAGCTCTTTTATGTATGCTGTAGGGAACTGTAGTAGGAGACATTAATTATTTTCTTTAGAAGGCAATTTAATCCAGGCATCAAAATGAAACGAGTAAACTTTTCAACACCTCACTGCTATTAGTGAAGAGGCTTTTTAGCATTACTTTATGTTACTTAACCCGACTTACCAACATATTCGTATGCTGAGGACAATTTGTAAAAAAAAGTTACTGGTAGAAATGCATTGCCACATATCTCTGGTGTGTTTCCCAGTAATGTTTCAAAATCATAATTTCTAAACAGCTGTTTGTAATTCATCTGTCTGCAAAATGACCACAATGCTTAGAAGACAGTCAGTTACTGGCCTGACTATTGCAGGGGTTGCAAGTACAGGTTTTCCAGTTGTGGAAATATACTGAGGATAAGGGAGTCTGCTTAGAAGGTCTAACATAGTATTATTCTATACTTTCAGATTCAAATACACATTGATGTGGCAGCTAAATAGTGAGATTTGGACTCTGCTACCAGATGCTTATTGCCCTTAAGATAAAGATCTGGTACACGCATTCAGAAGCTCATGTCCCTCCACAGAGATGCTACTAGGCAATTTTCGAGGATCAAAGGGGATTGTAGATTGCAGAAGCCGAATGATTCCTGTATGAGGAATCAGTTAATTGCAGAAGTTAATAAAGATGATAATGGTAGTAAATCATGAGTGATTGTGTAGAGTTGGAGAATAATTACCTATTGTCAAAACAAGTGGAAAGACAAGGAACTCATGTACCTTTTGAGACGAAATGCTGATCTCCCCCCCCCCCCAGCCCATTTAGAATGCAATTGACTTTGGAATTGGAGAGAAAGCTAAAGTGCTGATAAAGGCATTTCTGTCAGAAATGTAAATAATTGTATGGCAGTGGCTTTCTAGCTTGTGTAATTCTTTTTTTTTCCAATTCCTGCTTCTGAAAGAAGTAAAAAGAAGTTGGAATGAGAGGGGGAGGGGGGGAGAGAGGAGAAGGGAAGGGAGGGGAGAAGGGGGCGGACAGACAGGCAGGATCACAAATGTTAATCAAGCATCAGTAACCTTTTAAAATTTTTATGGTGCCATACTTGTCACTTCTGAGAGTTTTCAATGAGCTCTCAGCTTGAAACTGTACATCATAGTCATTGAAATCTTGTTGGGAAATATAAATAGTCTGAAATAGATTTTATTGATCTTAACAGTTGTTTGTGATAGGCCTAAATCCAGCAGATAGTTCCATTTAAAATGTTTTGTACAAATTATTGAATTACTAATATCTTATCACTTAGCACTTCGTATAATTTTTGGGGGAATGTGCATCACATTTTTAAAAGTCACACAGTAAAAAATAATGAAAGCTTTGCTTCTGAAGTGCAGCTGAACTAGCGGGTCTAACATTAATTTTTTATTAGATATTTTTATATGTCATTCTGCCTCCCCCTAGAGGGGCATTTTATATTCTTCTCCATTGTGGATATTTTTTATCTTTCTGAAATTTTTCATAAAACAATTTCATGTGAATAATGCATATAAGAATCTATCCAGAGAGTATCTATACATGAAATTGAACACTTGAATTTCTCTGTTGAATTGTTGGCAGGAACTAAAAAAATGCACTTTATTCATTAAACCACTTCAGATTTTCTGGATCTTTTGCTACTGTAAGATTAAAAAAATAACTCTTAGAACCTCGTTGATCTACGGATGTGTGCATACATCAATAGACCGAAAAGATAACTTCGTACCTAACAAAAATTCTAAACTTGATGCAGAAAATTATTTTTGTACAGATATGAGATTATCTTTTTGTTACTGTATCCTGTTAATTACAGACATACATATTTGTATTGGAACATACTCTTCTTGATATTATTGTTCCTGCATTTTATAAGCTGGCAAGATTTTCTAACATTTGTGGCTTGCATTAACTCTTTTGATTTTTTTAATATCTAAAAAATATACTTCCATGTAAATATTTGTAAAGGATTTTCTGTCTTGACCCAGAGAAAATAGATAATTTCTTTCCCAAACTCTATAAAAAGGAATAAGGGGCATTATTATAGGAACATTGGAAGCTGCTTTAAAGTAGGGCACAGTATTTGTCCTCACATAGTCTTAAAGTAGAAAAGGGTCTTTTTTTTTTCATTGTGTGTAATTTTGTGTTATTGGAAGTGTCAACCATTAAAACTGCAGTCTAAACCAAACACCTACCACCTCTTCTCTGTAAAATGCCTATGTGTTAAATCTGAGGGCTCTCAGAGGCTACTCCCAATTTTTGCCATCTGCAGCAGCTGCCTAAATTCTTGACGACGCCCACAATTTGGAAATCCCCTTGTAGGGGTGACAAGCTTTTGCTTTCCTACTTTCAACTTTAAGGCATTATGGAGCAGTTTATGGTTTTGTGGTTTGGGAGTATTTTTCTGGGACAAAGCCAGATCCTGAGCAAAAGGCTAGAAGCTGCAATTACAGTATTTTCTGATTAAAAACATAGAGCTTTGGCAACTGCCGCTTTCTTTCAGAATTGTTCAGAAAACAGACCATCATCTTTGAAACCACCGCTTGAAGGAACGAGAATTCCTTGGGAGTAGTTTTAAGTTAAGTTGTTGATAAGAATGCAGAATAAGTTTTCCATACTATTTCAGCCAGTTCAAATTTCATTAAGTAGCAGTCAAAGACCAAAGTATACAATGACAACTTTGGTTTTATTTCAGCCAGAATATGACAGTGTTCCAAAAAATAATTTTCTAATGTTCAAGTGATCTTTGCAGGAAGCACACTGAAGTGTGTGTATGTGTGTGTGTATGTATAATAGAAAGGAGTAGATAATAGCATGTTTGTATTAGGTATAAAGTGTTTTCTGCTTTTTTGTTTATTTTTAGTTTTATTATAATATTGCACACAAACTTAAAGTCAAATGTACCTAATTTTGTTATATTATTGTCCATTGGCATCCTTCAGTCTCAAGAGACTATGGTATCGTGCTCTGGAAAGAGGTCCTAAAACAGCATCTAGTGTGACTAAAAAGGCCAATTCGAGAGTGGCAGTCCCTTCCAAACTGAGGGCAGATACATTCATGTTATATTATAGGATTTATTTATTTATTTAAGGAACACACAATTATTGTCAATGGAAATATATGTATTCTGCAAGGAGTTGTACGTGGAGATTTGTAATTCAGAAACTTTCATTTAATGTTTGACAACATTAATGTCTTTAATTTCCTCGATTAACAGGTAACATGACACTGACATTTCTCTTCTTTTTAGGATCCCAGAAGCAAGCATAAGTTCAAAATCCACACGTATGGGAGCCCAACATTTTGTGACCATTGCGGTTCATTACTTTATGGACTTCTGCACCAAGGGATGAAATGTGACAGTAAGATATTTATTTCATGCAGTGTTAAGAGTTCTTTTTGTATATAAAAAAATCAATGAAGCCATTAGAGTTGTGCCTAACTACTTTCCAGTAAAATTTATTGTAGTTCCTGTTAATTACAAATGTAGCAGTCCATTTGAAATGAATATTTCAACACATCTAGCAAAAGACTGTTAAATGAGAAGAGCTTTTTCTCATGTTGATTTTTCTGTAGCCATATATTAATGGAAACTTACTGGAAGAAAGAAGCATTATATTCAATCAGCAGTTGACCTGCAATATTATGATAAAAGCCCAAGCATTAAAAAAAATAAAAATAAGGGCAGTTTGTGGCTTCATAACAAAAGCTTCATAATGCTTGTTCACTATCCTTTTGAGTTTTTTTGGTTGATTCACCCTTGCAAGTTGCCACCACTAGAACCCACTTTGTTCTGGGGAATTGACTTCCCCATAGATAAAGCATTAGGCATCCAAAAATGTGCGTGAAATTTTGGCTATTGCCATATGATTTCCACTGGAGCAACCCCGCACTCCCCCCGCTTTTGGCACGCGACGGCAAAAAGGTTAGCCATCACTGCAATAGACCTAGGGGTGAGTTCTTTTGTTGTGTCATTCCCACAGAATTAGTTCAAGTATGGAAAACTAGAAGGATGTAGGTGAGTATAAATACCCAATGCTATAAAAACTAGAACTTTCACACCAGGGTATCTGAGCTTACTGATCATTGCTTAGATAAATGCAAAGACCACATATCCCTTCCCTTTACAATTTTATCAAAAGGCTTTTCTTTTTTAAAAAAAAAGAAAAGTCAAAATTAATTTATGCTGCATCAGGTAGAAGGAGAGAAGTTGAAAAAAATGGGGTGAGGACAGTGCCTCACGAACAATTTCACAACATAACCTAAGGCAGTTTGTCAAATTCTAAGTATAAGGTAACCTGCTACTAGGACTGCAACGGTAGCTGCAACAAAGAGATGAATAAAAACAGCTGTTGTCAGAAAGTACACAAACTGCTGTTTCTCCTCATGTGGTTTGAATAGAACTCCTCTTCAATAGCTATAAAAATAGCAAGCTGTCACCTATGACTAATTAAATGGCTTGGAAGCTATTTTGGGGATTCCTTAGAAACCTGCTTCTGTGGAGTCCTTGGTGCTCTCTGAGCTTGGTTGTTTGCTTGCAGATATTTCATTACCCAGCTAGGTAACAACATCAGTGCAAGTAAATATGGGCTTTGCTTTCTGTTTGTATACAGTTACTTGCCCTGCCGGTGTTGATGTGGGGGTGGTTTTCTCTCTGATGGTTCCTTGATATCGTTAATATTCCTTCACTTCCCCACTGCAGCCCACTTCACACTACAATTCCCCACTACATTGCAAATATATTATTAATTCTCCACTATAGTGGTTCCAGAAAATAAAAGACCTAAAAATAGAAGATGAAAGTATGGTTTCATTCAGTGTTACAGCACTCTTGACATACATTGGTCCAGAACCAGCAAAAGAATCCATCGCAGCAGTACGACACAACTCACCTGACCTAGCTAAATATTCTAAATTTAAAATACCCAGAATCATGGACCCCACCAACCTCTGCCTCACTACCTACATGCAGTTTGATTGACAGATATGTGAACAAATCAGAAGAACATCCATAGGGTCATCACTCTTAGGACTTATAGAAGAGAGAGTAATGCAGCAGCATCTGGAAAAAACAGCACTCCCACACAAACAGCCAAAAATATGAATCTGATATGTAAATGACACCTTTGTCATAATAAAAAAGCAACAATGAGAAAAGACACAAGAAACAGTCAACAACATCTTCCAAGAGATAAAATTCAACAGAGAAGGAGAAAGCAATAATGTGCTATTATTTCTCGATTTTTCATCAGCAGAGGAAACAACTGGAAAAAATTAGAAACACAAGTCTGTTGAAAAACAAGCCACACTAAACAAGTCCTCCCACAAGAGAAGCTGTGTAAAAGAAAATTATTCAAATGAGCACAAGCTGCAGCAACCCAGAACATCAGAAAAAGGAAATGGATCGCCTATATAACATCTTCCAATAAAATGGAAACCCATATAACTTTATCAAAAAGTGCCTGTTCAACACACAACAACACTACCAAAACAAGATATGAAAAGGATATGACCATACATTTTTAAAAAAAATCTCAGAAACAACCAACTATTACAACCACTTGGCATCACTCTAGCATACAAACCAATTAAAGCCACCAAAAACATCTTACATAAAAACCCAAAGACCCAGTAGCCTAAGAAGAAGGGAAAAACTTAGTCATTTACAACATAGAGTTTAAAGAAAGTAGGACAAAAAGGTAGAAGTTTAGCAGAATGCATCTATGGACACCAACTAGCAGTCAGAAGACATGATGAAAACTCCATCTCACAACAGATGGACAGACTGAGCCACTGTTTCAATTGGGAAATTATGAGCATCCTAGACCAAGTCAAATCCATAAACACTAGGGAATTCCTGGAAACTTGGCATTCAGACAAATCAGCCATAAATAGACACATAGAAATAAACCTTATTTACACACCATTCAAAAGAGACAACAAAAAGTTACAAGGAAGCAGGAATTGTATATAAACAGGGAGTAAACACCATGCTCTAGCATTGGTGATGTTATTTAGTTAGATAATGAAACATCTGTAAGCAAACAGCCAAGCTCAGAGAGCACCAAAGACTCTATAGAATTCAGCCTAGAGGTACATATAATCTCTTCTGTCGAAACTCAAGACCAGTAATAAGAAATAGTTTAAATCATTTAAGGTAGAAAAGGAATGAAAATATTTTAATTTATTTCATCCTACAAAGCTACCTCTTTCTATCCGGATTTTTTAAAAAAATTAATAAAATATGATGCTACAGTTCAGGCCACCCTTTTTCTTGAATATATGCATGTTGTGGAGAACCCTATATAAAAAGGGATTAATCTCCATTGTTGCTTGGTCTACAATTTTGGTAGGCTTGAGTTGTTGTTTTTTATTTGCATAGTATTGCATCTACATTCTGTCTTCCCTCTTAACACAAGGCAGCATCCATGGTAGTCCTCCCTTATTTTATCACCAGAGCATCAAGCTTCAAAAGCTGATTGAGTTCAGAAAGAATGAGTGGGTCCAAAGTCAGTCAGTGAGCTTCATTGCTGAGAGGGGACTGGAACTTGGATTTCTATGGTTGAAGCCCCCAGCATTTTAATTACTGTGCTACACTGACTTTCACTTGTTCTGACTCCCCACATTCCCATGGCTCAGTGGTTGGCTTTGAGAAAAATCAGGCATTCTTAAGACTTTGTTTCTTATGGAAGAAAGACAAAGAACTCTTTCAGTTTTTCTGCCTTTCAACATGTGTTGCTGTTTCCCACTGTTAGATATGAGAATGTTGCATAACCAGATTTACCTCTAGAATTAAAACTCTGTCTATAATTTCTGAAGGAATTCTAATGTCAAGGTATAAAGATACACTTTTCCATAAAAGTGCAAGAGCTATAAATTAGGTGTCTCAATACTTACAACATTTTGATTCAGCAGTTTTATTGTCAAACAAAGCACTTGTCAAGATTTTGATTAAAAATAGTTGTGGTCACTTATTTTCCCAATCAGATTTTTAAAAATCAACTCAGAAAGCATTTTTTTACATCATGTTTCCTAGGGAATAGCTAAAACATATAATTCTTTTGCTAATATGTGGCAGCTTTCCTGATGAGGCATAACCTAGGTTTTTATTAATGGAAAAACTATGTACGCATTAATGGATGCTCAAAAACAGTAGCATTGAAATAATCATAGATAGTTGTACAGTGTTTTTTAAAAAACTGGAATTTAATGATTGGCCAGTGGTCAATCCCAAAAAAGAGGAGATCTCATCTTATTGAGTGTGTTTTTATTTTCATTTTGCTTTCTATAAAACCCTATCAGGTATTCAACCAACGTATGTTTCCCCACATATTCCTCCTTATTTTCAACTAAATGCCACCCATATAGTTTTTAATGTCTAAATTGGCATCATTAACATTTGTCTCAAAACTTATTTGGTATGTTGGGGAATCATTGACTCTGGCCAAATTTGTCGTATGTCATGTATGATTTGTGTAAAAGTGGTCTTCAAGACTGCAGCAAAAATAGCTGTTTCTTAACTCAAAATCATTTTCCTCAAGATTTGTTTTTGCCTTATTTTGTTCTGCCCTATGACAGAAAAGATACTTGCTTTCATTTGTGAGAAGATACTACAAACACTTCTTACCTTATGTACTGAATGTAGAAAGATTTTTTTTTTTTTTTGAGTGGACTATAAATTGACCAACTTTCCCTAATAGCCCAAAGGAAAGATCAACTTTCCTGGCAATGTGAAACTGGTAGTGCCAATTAGTTATGTCTGTCTTTTTCACTCCTTAGGATGTTAAATTATTTATTTTCTGACTTTCAGCCTGTGATATGAATGTTCACAAACAATGTGTAATAAATGTTCCAAGTCTTTGTGGAATGGATCACACGGAAAAAAGAGGGAGGATTTATTTGAAGGTTGAAGTGACTGGTGACAAGCTGGAAGTCACAGGTAAGGAAAGCTTCTTAGATGTAATGTACCTCATTTAAGGATGCTTTTATTCGTTTATATTGAATAGCTTTGAGGCAATAAGCATAAAAAATGGCTTATGTACTATATTCAGTAAAACTTCAGCTCCTGGCTGGAACAAAGGATTATGAATTCCTTTGAACTGAAGAATGTAATAGGCTTACTTATCCATATAAGAACGTATCCCGCATCCATGGCTGGAAAGTGAGGATGGAAAATGCCACAGTGTGCCCATATTCTGCTTTGGGGCTTCCAGCAAGGAACAGAATGTCCTTTTGGCCTAATTCAGCATGGTAGTTATGCAATAATGCTAAGAAAAAAATCCCTTGAAATAGTAATTGATTACAAACTGAATAGAAGTCAGCAATGTGATGCAGCTACAAAATAGACATATGCCTATGGAGGTGCTTAGTAGATTAGGAGAAGATCCCATCTCCATCCTGTTTACACATTGATTCCTTTTTATCTAGTTCTTCGTCAATTGTAATGTTTTAATTCTTAAAGCTTTTAATGTTCTTATTCTTTTATATCACATTTTGATATTGTTCTAAGCTGCCCAAAGTCACTTGACAGTGAGATGGGTGGCATATAAATTAAAGCAATAAATAAATCAGCATATTCAGAGAATGGCATTGTGGATGATCAGGCAATTAGAGCCTAAATCTTAAGAGGCACATGTGAAGGAAGTTGGTATTTTAGCTTTGGGGCGTGTGATAACATACTTCAAGTGTCAGCTGTCACAGAAAGATACATCAAAATCTCTCCTTTATTTTTTCAGGGTGTAGAAAATAAACACTGTTATTTAAGTTGTGTTAAAATAGAAGGAAATTGAAGTTGGGAAACAGCTTCCCAACACTAACATGACTGTAGAATTAATTTATCCGAAAAGCTGATGGGCCACCCTTTATTGAATGTGTTCACTGGAAGTAGACCTCCATCTGTTAGGAAAGCTTTTGCTTGGGTGACTATAATGAGCAAATAACGTTACGATTCTATCTTCATCTGAAACTACAAAAATAGAAAATGAAACAAGAAAGCTAGATGTTTTGTTTTCTTTGTTATTTTTAAATACTTTTAAAATAGATACAGTTGAATCATGTTTTGCTGCAACTGACAAAATGCAGGCCGCTCAATCCTACTGCTTAAGGTAGCTTGGTTTCCTTTCAACTTCAGTGACCCCTCCAAAGCAGCAGCCCATGAAAATGAAAACTAAGCTTTCCGCAGACTCTTTTTTCAAATTAGGAAAGGCAAAGTAATTTTAAGTCTATTTTTATTCGTAGGCAATATAATTGACACTGAATTTAGTAGGCCGCTATCTGTAATATTTCTAGCATTTTCTGTGACAAGGTTATTATCCTCATGGTAAACGTTTTTGCAAGAATGAAATCAGAAATCTCTTCCTTTTAGTGTGTGTATGATAGAGACAGTTGGCTGATTTAATTCATGTCCAAAGTAGTAGTTCTTGGTGTGACAATGAAATATCAATCCGTAATCCTCTTCACTTGTCTGCTGCTTCCTGCATCCTAGGAAAACTTTGTGCTATACTGTTCCCTAATATAAGACTTACATAACCTGTTTCTTCATTCAGTCCTCATGAGTGTTACAGGTAGCCTTCAATTTACAACCAAAACTGAGCCCAAAATTTCTGTTGCCGAGTAAGCTCATTTGTTAAGTGAGTTTTGCTGCAATGGTCATAAGTGTGGAAAACAGTCATAAGTTACTTCTTTCAGTGCTGTTGTAATTTCAAATGATCACTAAATGAACAGTTGTAAAACAAACACTACCTGTATTTCTTTTGGGATTAAATTTTAAGTTTAAGGTTTGTTTACCATGGGCTGATCAATATTGATCACTTGTTAAACTTAGAGACACAGGTTCTGTTACTAATCATTGGTACCAACTCTTTTGTCTTGGCCAGAAGTAATGTGCAGCATGGAGGACTCCAAGTCCCATCATGCGCACCATATCACGATAGTGCACCCAACAATCAAAACCCCAGATAATGTAAGGCAGTGTTTCTCAATCTTATCAGCTTAAAGATGTGTGGACTTTAACTCCCAGAATTCCCCAGCCAGCAAAGGGAGTTCAAACACTGATGTAAGACACAAAAGAATCTGGTAGGGAAATTTACCTTAACAAAACTAGCTGGCCTGATATTTCAAGAGAACTACCAATGGTGGATGCTATTTTCTCTATTCTCATAGCCCCAAATAGCTGAGGGAGAGGAAAATTATGGGGGAGCTCTCCTCACAACTTGAGGTGGAAGGAAGCATGATATTCTTAGCCTGGCAAGATGTAGGAGTGTCAGTATTCTGAATCATCTTCCGGAAAGAGGTATTGAGTTACCTCTAATTTTTGCTGATCTTAGGGCTTAATTTAGTGTTACCCTGGGCAGAATTCTGTAGGAGTCTGAATCAGACTTCCAATTGCTCTTAAAATGCATTGTGCTAAATAAATAAATAAAGTAGGCCTTACTTTGCCAGATGCCCTGAAGGTAGAAAAGGCAGTTAAGCAGATACAAAAGTGACAGTGTCACATAAGCCTTGAAGCGCTGACGGAATTGCTATCCACCTCCACCCTGCTGCTAGTACAGTATTTTATCCTTTCTCTATTGTATGCTTCTTCTCCTCCTCCTCCTTCTGTCTCCTAATTAACTCCTTTGATTTGTCATGCTAGAAGAAAGCACATGGCCTGCTTTTATAGCCCTATAGCAAATTGGAAGAAGGGGATGTGGTGGGTTTTTGTTTGTTTGTTTTTGTTCGTTTGGTGGTTTTTTGATGGGTGGTTGGTGGGCAGAACTATGTCCTCCCTTTTTTCCTTCCTTGATTCCTCAGAATCATATCTGACGGGGGTATCTAGAAGAGCAGCTCTTCTTGAAGTGCGCATGACCTTGTTTTCTTTGCTTTTGCCTGTCCTGCATAATGTAGGGTCATTCTGGAGAAAATAATGCCTTTTCTTTCTCAAATGGCTGGTTTGGTCCTTTAAGGCAATTAGCACAGATGGAGATTTTCTACTTCTTATAAAATAATAGACTCTGAGATGTCAAAAATAAAGCTAAACCAGGGGATAATAGCAGAATAACAGGGCTGGAAGGGACCTTGGAGGTCTTCTAGTCCAACCCCCTGCTCAAGCAGGAAACCCTATACCAGTGACGGCTAACCTTTTTGCCATCGTGTGCCAGGAGAGGGGGGGCAGGGGAGGGTCGCGCATGCACGTGCCCACGCGCATGCGTGTGCAACCCACCCCACCACCACCACCCCGTTCCTGGCACATGATGGCCTGGTAGGCCCGTTTTTCTTTCTTACCTGGTTCCAGATCCTTTCTATTTATCTGGGAAGAGTAAAAACAGCCTTTCCCACTCCCTTGGAGGCCCTACGGTGGCTGAAAGGGCCCATTTCCCAACTCCCGGTGGGACAGGAAGTGACATTTTTTGCTGTCCCCAGCCTCCAGAACCTCTCCAGGAATCTCTAGGAGCCTCTCTAGGAGTCTCTAGGAGCCTCTCTAGCAGTCTCTGGAGGCTGGGGACAGCAAAAAATGTCACTTCTTGTCCCACCGGGAGTTATTGTTATTTCTTCAAATGTTAAGTGGATTCGAATTTGAGAAAAGGATCTTTTCAATGGCCAGGAATTTCTATCCATGCTCAGAGAACTAATATTACTGCAAATTACAAAGCAAGGAATAATATCATTTTTTAAAAAATAGAATAAAACCTATTTTAATAATGGCATGTATTGGACAATGCCAGTCTTATTCTCTTCAAGGCAAATCATTTTGGCCTGGGCTTTACAGAAAGTCCTTGGTTAATTATGATAATTAGGACATCTGCAACTTCAAGGACCAGTTGTAAGTAATGTATCACGTGTTCAGCACTGTTGTAAAGTTGAACACTTGTTAAATGAGAACTGCTTGTAGTTGGTTCCAGATGGAGGACCTGACTGCTGCTGAGGTGAGCCAATGATTAAGAATACATGTATGTTCATTTATGCATACTTTTCATTCAGCACATACTGTATTACAGTGCAAACACAAGTCTTCAGAGCCAGAGATGGACAGCAAATGGATCTCCAAATGATGGACTGCAACTTGTTCTGTCTTTTAGAAAGAAGGGTTCTCTTCAGGATATTAGTTTCTCCCACCTTCACACACACACACACACACACACACACACACACACACACACACACACAGAGAGAGAGAGAGAGAGAGAGAGAGAGAGAGAGAGAGAGAGAGAGAGAGGATTAATGTTTTAAGGCATGTTACCTATTTCACTGTTTTTACCTTCATGTATGCTCTTACTTTTTTCCCCCCCATAATGGAAAGAATACATGGACATTTTCAGAATGTGAGAATTCTGATAAAAATTTTGCCCTATGCCTTTAGGCTTCCCCAGAAAATGGCATCTTATGAATTGTGAAAGAATTTATGAATTTAAACTTTGGAGCAAGACAAACCGTTAGTTGATATATTATTTCTTCAGGCAGGGTCTACAAGAAGGCAATCACCGTGGGGAAAAGTTATCCATATTTTACTGATAGCGCATTCTACAAAGTATATTGAGGGAATATGGACATTTTTCATGTGCATTTAATTTCTGAAACAGTAATAAATCTCTGTGGTTGGAATAGGTAGAACTGAAAAATATTTTCCCATTTTTTAAATATTGTTTTTTATGAATACTCAGGGTAGCAAACATACCTAATACCTAGTACTCCTTCCTCCTCCTATTTCCCCCCAACAACAACAACCCTGTAAAATGAACTGGGTTGAGGGAGAATGACTGGCCCAAAGTCACCCAGCTGGCTTTCATGCCTAAGGCAAAACTAGAACTCCTAGTCTCCTGGTTTCTAGCCTGTGCCTTAATCACTACACCAAAGCACTTTCTTTTTCTGTTTCAAATATAGTGTAATAAAGTTATAGCAATGTCATTATATTAGGTATTAAACTTATTTTCAGAGAAATGAATCACTGTTCTCTACCTTGCA